TTGAAGGGGAAGCAGATCATTGGTGGGAAATGATCAAAAGTACTCGACAAGTAGAGACATTAACTTGGAGACAGTTCAAAGATCTGTTCATGGAAAAGTATTTTCCTAACTCGCTAAGACAAGAAATGATTCAAGAGTTCCTCCAACTGAAACAAGGAAAAATGTTCGTCGCTCAATATGCGAACCGTTTTGAAGCTCTTTCACGGTACGCTTCAGCCATAGTAGCAAATGAAGGGGATAAGGTTAGGCGATTTGAATGGGGCTTGGACACAGACATTAGAGGAAGATTGATCGCAGTGCAACTCTCCACCTATGCCCAGATGGTGGATCGAGCTTTAATTGTGGAGTGAGAATTAGCAGATTTCGAACGCATTCAAAATCAACGATCAAGGAACAACAACCAACCACGCGGAGGAGGCCCAGTCCGCAACACCAGAAACCATCCTGCGCCAGCACCTTATACCGGAGGGATGCAACAGCAACAAAGGCAGAATCGAGGAAACCAGCAAGGAGGAAACTTTGTAAGTTAGTGGAAAGGAAGATGTTTCGGATGTGGTCAACAGGGGCATCGTCGAAGTGAGTGTCCTCAAGGTGGGGAGTATTTTATGGATCAGCGAGGGGCACAACAATACAACAGATGCCAACCTGGGCAAGGTTCTAAGCCTACTCAAAATACTCAGACCAACAAGGGGCAGCCACAAGCCTCTAGGAATGCAGGCCGACCAAGAACACAACCACAAGGAGCTGGAAATGGAAAGAAACTGGGAGAGACTAACCAACAGGCAGTAGGAAGAATGTATGCTCTCCAAAAAGAAGAAGATGTTGATAACCCATCAGTAATTCAAGGTATGTTAATCCTTATGAATTCTTGGGTTAAAGTATTGTTTGATTCTGGGGCTTCGCATTCTTTTATATCCACTGCATGTATGACAAGTTTGGGTTTAAATCCAGAGGCGCTAGAGATAGCTATGAGTGTCACTTCACCCTTAGGAGGTCAAACCCGAGTAAATCTAGTATGTAAATCTTGTGAGCTAGAAATCTCCGGTTCATATTTGAACTGTGATCTAAGAGTTATGGATATGTCTGATTTTGACATCATCCTAGGAATGGACTGGTTGTCAGTTCATCAAGCCATTATTGATTGTTACCATAGGACAGTGACAACATCCTCCCTTAACAGCATGAAAGTCCAATTTAAAGGAGATAGACAAGATTCTCTAACTCCAACGTGTTGCAAGTCGGGACAGCATGATCAACTAACCGGATGGTTGGCAAGCCTAATTTTGGAAGGCGAAAATCGAGAGGATCCAGGATTACCCCATGTGGTGTGTGAGTACGCTGACGTTTTCCCTGATGAATTACCAGGATTACCCCCAAAACGAGAGGTAGATTTCACGATTGAGCTTCAACCCGGGACTTCACCGATTTCAATAGCACCACACCGTATGGCGCCAGCTGAACTTCGAGAATTGAAGGAGCAGTTGCAAGAACTGTTGAGTAAGAAGTTCATCAGACCAAGTACGTCCCCTTGGGGAGCGCCAGCATTATTCGCAAAGAAAAAGGATGAAACCTTAAGATTGTGCATTGATTATCGACAACTAAATCGAGCCACCATTAAAAATCGATATCCCTTACCCAGAATTGATGACTTGTTTGATCAATTAAGAGGTTCAAAATGTTTTTCCAAAATTGACCTTAGGTCGGGATATCACCAACTTCGTGTCAGAGGAGAAGATATACCCAAAACCGCGTTTCGAACCCGTTATGGCCACTATGAGTTTGTGGTAATGCCATTTGGTTTGACGAATGCTCCTGGGGTATTCATGAGTTTAATGAACAAAATCTTTACCCCCTATTTGGACCAATTTGTGGTAGTATTCATTGATGATATTTTGATATACTCACGATCGGAGGGAGATCACGAGCAACATCTGAGGACTGTTTTGCAAATTCTAAAAGAAAACCAATTGTATGCTAAAGCTAGCAAATGTGAATTTTGGCTGAAGAAAGTAAAGTTCTTAGGTCATGTTGTGTCTGAATCAGGGATATCAGTGGATCCTGCTAAAGTAGAAGCAGTGATGGGGTGGAAACAACCTAAGAATACGTTTGAGATTCGTAGTTTCTTGGGATTAGCAGGTTATTATAGGAGATTCATTCAGGATTTCTCCAAATTAGCCAAGCCGATGACACGCCTAACGCAAAAAGGAGTAAAGTTTGAATGGAACGAAGCGTGTGAGCAGTCATTTCAAGAACTCAAGAAGAGACTGACAAGCGCTCCTATATTAGTCATACCCGAACGTGACGTTGGGTACACTGTTTATTGTGATGCCTCTAAGGAAGGGTTAGGTAGTGTGTTAATGCAAAACGGGAAGGTAGTGGCTTACGGATCAAGACAATTGAAGAATCATGAGAAAAATTATCCTACTCACGATTTGGAGTTGGCAGCTGTGGTCTATGCACTTAAGACTTGGCGACATTACCTCTATGGCGAAAAATTTGAGATATTTACCGATCACAAAAGCTTGAAGTACTTGTTCACCCAAAGAGATTTGAACATGAGACAGAGATGCTGGATGGAGTACCTTGAAGATTACCAATTCACCATATCTTATCATCCCGAGAAGGCTAATGTTGTAGCAGATGCACTAAGTCGAAAGACAAGGGAGATTGTAGCCAACATATCAATTAAAGAATGGGAAATGGCAAGCACTGTGAATGAGTTTAAGTTACAACCAGAGACTCAGAATGGGAGGGGTAGGTTGTTTACAATAGTTACAACACCCTAACTTCTTACCAAAGTGTTGGATGCCCAAAGATTTGATCAGGAGATCGACTCCATCAAGGCCCGATTAGTGTCCGGGGAATCTTCACCAGATTGGACGCTCCATCAAGATGGTAGTTTAAGGTATTTAGGTAGAATTTTTGTGCCAAACATCGAACAATTAAGAGAGGAAGTACTTAAAGAATTTCACCATTCGGTTTTTGCGGTTCATCCGGGAGGAAATAAGATGTACCAGGATCTTAAGCGATAGTATTGGTGGAGTGGAATGAAGAAGGGCGTTGCTCAATTCGTATCTAAGTGCTTGACGTGTCAGCAAGTGAAGGCAGAACATCAAAAGCCGGCAGGGAAACTCCAACCTTTACCAATACCTAAGTGGAAATGAGAACACATAACAATGGATTTTGTAACGGGATTACCCCGATCACCACAAGGCCATGATGCCATTTGGGTGGTGGTTGATCGATTAACTAAGACGACACATTTCCTACCAATAGGACCAGGAGGCACACTCGAATCTTTAAGCCGAATATTCATTCGAGAAATCATTAGGTTGCATGGAGTACCAGTCTCAATAGTGTCAGATCGTGATTCTCGTTTTACGTCACAGTTCTGGCAAAGTCTGCAAAAGGCCTTGGGTACAGAGTTGTGTTTTAGTACATCTTTTCACTCTCAAACTGACGGTCAATCAGAAAGAACAATTCAAACTTTAGAAGACATGCTTCGAGCTTGTGTGATGGACTTTAAAGGTAGTTGGGAGAAATATTTACCACTAGTCAAATTCTCTTACAATAACAGTTTTCAAGCAAGTATTGGTATGGCACCATATGAAACTTTGTACGGACGGCCTTGCCGATCACCAATATGTTGGACAGAAGTCGGAGAAGCACATCTTTTAGGGCCAGAGTTAGTTCAAGAAACTACCGAGAAGGTGAAACTAATTAGGCAAAGGCTTGAGACCGCTCAGAGTAGGCAGAAAAGCTATGCAGATCAAAGGAGAAGACCTTTAGCATTTAAAGTTGGAGATCATGTGTTTCTGAAAATACAGCCTCGCCGAAGAGTTGTTCGTTTCGGAAAGAAGGGAAAGTTGTCACCTCGCTTCATTGGGTTTTTCGAAATTTTGGACAAAATAGGAGAAGTGGCGTACCGTTTGGCTCTACCGCCTCAACTGGCTGGAGTACATAATGTTTTCCACGTCTCTATACTGCAGAAATACAAGTCGCACCCTTCTCACATCATCAATTGGAA